CTCCCCAGCCTTTCGGTCGGTTGGTACAGTATGGATCCTTAAGAGGTTCCACATCCCACATAAAACCATTGGTTTCATGTAACTTTAATGAAACAAATGCTTCATCAAGATTGACATATACATCTTCAGCAGGTTGACATGGGGAAATATTAGCTAATTTCTTGTCGAACTGCTTCTTTTGGACATTGTTCACGTCTGCCATAAAATACCCTTGATCAGCTTCAATATTCTCAACTATGCCATCTTCCCTCCAGATCACCAAACACTGGTGTATAGAGGATGGCACAACCCCTACTCCGTGTAGTCATTATCTCCCTACTAAGAGGTTGTAACTCGACTTACCTTGAATCACCATGAAAATAATCGGCCTAGTAACTGAGCCGACAGTAATGTCCACTTGGATCACACCCATGGTGTTTCTATTTCTTCCTTCGTAGTATGATAAGACCACGTTATGAGATCTAACATCGGTGTCATATTTACTGATTTTCCATAATAAGTGGTGTGGCATAATATTCACCGTAGCACCACAGTCTACCAACACCTTGTTGATAGCCACCCCTTTGACCTTAGTCCTTATTAAAAGAGGCTTCAAATGTCTCCTCATGTCCATATCTAGTCTTTCAAAGAAAGCATTTTGGTTCTCAATGGAACCATTGTTCATGACAAAGTAACACGTTGGCTTGTGTAAAGCCATCTCCTCGGCATCTATGTCTGCTGAATCTTCTACTTTAGTCAAGCAGTCATATTCTGCTTACATAATTGATACTACATTGACTAAGATATTCAAACTCTCTTCAGAGTTAAAATCAAAATCGTCAGTGTCTTCTTCAGAACATTTGGCAACTGATCAATTCACGATTTCTTTGATTCGTTCTTTCGTAGAGGAGTCGACTTTCACCTTGTACTGCCTCTGATTTCCACCTTTGTTTGCAGCAATCTGGCCAGCAGCTGCTTGCCTCTCAGGATGCTTTCGATGCTGGAAGCGTCTCCATTGGGTTCGAGTCCTGGGATTCTTCCCCATGTAGTTTTTAGAAATGTGGCTTTTCTTCTCTGACTTGAACTTATGTCGGTAGTCAATAGCCGACTTCCCTTTGTTTGGTGCCCCATCAATTGGTGTGCCCTTTCTCCCTTGGGGTTTAATACAGGTACCGTTAGGAGCTTTTGCTGAGGGAATATAACTCCTTGGTTTATCATGAGAGTTTCCCATAGCTCTCCTTGGGTCCCTTGGTGTAGGGAACATTTGATTGTACGGCTTGCCTCTGTTCTTTTTTAACTGTAGCTTCTAGAAATTTTCAACAGCTATTTTGTCAGTCAAAGCGCCACATCTAGGACACAATCAAGCTTGTGAACCTTTATTCTTATAGCCATAAAGGAAATCTAGCAAGTCTTCCTTAGGTCTTGGGTACACATCTGCTAGGCCGGCATTAGGACTTTTTCCAGTGCCCTCTTCGACCATATTATCATCAGGGAATTCAGTAATCTCTACCATGTTGATGTCAACTGGGTCTAGAAACAAATCTTCCTCTTGCCTAAGAGGATCAGTATCAACCTTCATCTTTCTTGCAGCAAATTTCACCTACCCTCTTGCAGCGAATTTTGCATGATCCCTGAAAAGGTAACATTGAGAGGTTGTATGACCAAGATAATTATGAAATTTACAAAAACCTCTTTTCTGTCGTTGTTCTAATGGTGGTAATTTAGCACCTAGGGGTACTAAAATTTGACCATCTTTGACCAGTAAGTCAAAAAAAATTTCACACTTAGTGACATCAAACGTATAAGTTTTTACTAGAAATTTTGGATTATTTTCGACCGTATTCTTTCCTTTAGCAGAAAATAATGATTTACACTCATATGTTGGCTCTGACTTCATTTCAGCCAAGTCGACCTCTGCCTCTGTTAGTGAGGTATAGTTGGCCTCATAAATGGTATTTGTGTCATCATAATCTACGAAGGCTACTTTTTCTTTTCTAGTCTTAGCCTTAGTGTATCTGACCTTTTCTATTCGCAAACGCTCTAGATGTCAAACTCTATCATCTAACTGTGACATACTTTTCACAAAGGTTGGATCTATTTTCTTCCTAATGGAATAATGTAAACCTCTAGCAGCCATTTGAACATGCTCATGTTCTGGTACTTGAGTAAAGCATCTTGCTTTTAATGATCTAAATTTGTTTAGATAATCATCAATGGTTTCAGCAAACCTTCTTTTAATGTTCGATAATTCGACCAAACTAATTTTTGAATGACCCTCATAAAACTGCTCATGAAAAAGTTTATCCAACTTCGTCCATGAGTCAACCGAATTTGGGGGTAAAGTGGTAAACCACGTGAAAGCTGCCTTAGTAAGGGAAGAATGAAAGTGTTTTACCCTTAAGTTTTCATTATTCGACATATCCCCAGATTCAGTTAAATATATAACAATATGTTCCACTATCGACTCTCCAGATTCTCCCTCAAATTTCGTATACTTAGGGATTTTCCATCCTCTAGGGTTTTCAGTCTGTAAAATATATTCAGACAAAGGGGAAGAATATGTTGGCCTCTGAAGTGCGGTATTCATACCATTTATAGCCATAATTCTTTCGATAATGGTGGTTAAATTATTTTCTACGGCTAAATCCTCTTATCGAATTTGATCAACAATTTGATCAGCCTCTTGATATCGATGTACTAATACCCTAGGTGGATCGACAATCAAATTCCTTGGAAGAACTAGCATTTTCACCTAATGGACCGTTTCGTCCTGTATTGCCCCCATGTCTATTTGACCAGGGGCATCTAGTCGAACAGGTGGTGCCTGTCGAATAGGCGCTGGAGGAGCACCTAAAAAATTACACAAACGTGTTAATTGGGCAATTACATGTCGATTTGTTTCAGCGGACTGCCTATTAGTCTCATCCGACTCTTGTACTATAGGATTAAATACACTACCCATCTGATCAGTTAACATATTAACCAACATGTGGTTTCTATCATCCATTTGTTGCCTTAATACTGCTACTGAAGTATTAGTAAGAGGCGTGCCATAGGTTGAGAAGGCGCTACCCTATTTTGGTTGCCTCTCTTATTTCCTCCTGGTGCAGATCCTTGTAAAGGAGAGTTCAAATTTTGAATATTATCTGACACCACTGTTGTATTCGACATTGACTGATATCCTGGCATCATGGAATACGGTATTCCATAAGCCGGATCTACATTACCAAAACGAGGCACATTAGGTATGGTAGTCGTAGTCATTAATGATCTTGGGCTTCCCGGTGGAGCCTGAGACATTTATACGGAAACTGCAGCAGTCGACCCTACTGGAGGAAAAGGTGCTACCTGAGAAACTACTGAATCGGTAGTGATTAAAGTTCGTGACGGTATTTCGTCTACGTTTGAATTATCAGGAATAGTCATTCTTGATATCTGCTTCCTAGATAATGGTTTATTATACTCTTTGGTTAACTTCCCATTTCTAAGTTGCATCCACTTATAAATACTTAAGACAAATTCGTAGCACTGGGTCCCACCGGGTGTGCCAATTTGTTTACTGTGGAAAATGGTAAACAATCGTTGATCCTCCCAAAGTTCTAAACTGAGGGTAACTTGAGAGATCGACCAGTTGATCTCAAGACACGTGCTAAGAGCTTTACTATCACACATATTCCGTCGAAATACTAGTCAAGGGAGATGGTTTTCTTTTGACTGGGGGGAACAGGTGTAATGGTTTTCCACACTATGATTTGATCGAATGACTGGTGACTCGTGACCGGTAGAAGACATTCATACGAAAGTGAGACTTACTAAACTAACTGACTGGTGACTCGTGACCAACAGATAGTGTTGAATTGTTTATGTGAAATAGAAGATAACGTATAGATCTTGCTCGATAGTAAACAGAAAGCAGATAAAGTACTCAAAAGATATAATTGAAAGATAAAGAATTTGCATTGAAATAAAAATGGTGATTCACGTACATCAAGCACTCTTCACTCTTGATTTCCTAACGCTCAGAATGATATAGTTTTACAAGTGATTTGAGAGTACAAGTGAACATCCCACAAACTATATTAAATCTGCTTATTTATAGTGTTTACAATGTAACTACCTAGATAAAATCTACGGCTAATATTAACATCTTGAGGTAACTGCTTCACTAGATGTTGCCACCTATTTGGCGCTCAAAACATCGTGGATTGCTGGTAACTGCTCATGATTTTGAAGTTCCACCTATTTGGCACTTAAATACATCGTTGATTGTTGGTAACCGCCCATGATTCCTCTAAACCTTTTGAACGTAAACCGCTTCTGCCTTGCTTCGACACTTTTTTTCTGGAAAAGAATAACCATACTTCCTCTAAGTCCAAGAAACCCTTTTTTGTCGACTAAAATCATTTTCGATCAAATCCTTGTCTTTCACCCTTTGGTCGACTAAACTAATTTTGACCTCTTGACATATGTTCATTTATTTCTTTCTAGTTGACGTAGTTCAGTTTCGACAGTTTCAGTGTGACTCCTTTTAAGCATTAACTCTAACTTAATAAAACCAGCTATTCAAATACTGGCTCCCGTTTCTCAGAAAACCCTTACTTTGGAGGATGACTCTTAGCTTATGAGAATATCTCCATTTAATACTTGAATACCTTAAGATTTTCCAAAGTAACAATTGGAAATTTTTATACTCTAATTTTCCGATAATTGTTTGGGGTAGAATTGGAGTGTTACAGAAAGTCAAGGAGATTTTTTCACTTAGTCGAACAAACAAAAAGAAAACCCCATCTATTCCAGAAAAGATAGAGTATTGGAAAATGGTGAATGGACACAACAACACGAGAACACTACCTTAATTAATATGAATCTTAGTATCTCGGATCACTCTATGCTTGTGTTGCAGAACCATGAGTAGGTTCAGAATCGAGTAAGAAGCTTCAAATTCAGTAACAGTGTTGTTGATCTGGACAATTTCTATGACTGTCAGGAGCAGCTGGCATATTCCACTAAAGGACAGGCCTATGTTTATTGTGTGGAAAAAGCTGCTGAGACTTCATCCTATAATGAGAAGAATGAGTACACCTCTAACAGATGCTGCCAAGAATATTGGAAAAGCTAGAGAAACACTACATGATGCACATGAGGCTCTAAAAACTGATAGGATGTATATCAACAAAATTGAGCAAGTCAAGCAACATTCTGAAGAATTAATTAAGTGGCAAGAAATGGAATTTAACTTGCTGAAACAGCGGAAAAAGATTGATTGGTTGCGGCTAAGTGATGGTAACAACAAATATTTCCATGCATCCCCATAAAGTCGAGGCAGCAATTCAAGAATATGAAAAATGTTCAAAAAATTGATGGTACTTATGTGAAAAATAATCGTATTAATAGATAGTTTATCAAGTGATCAGTAGTTTATGCGAGTACCTAATGATGTACCCTTGATTTGTGCCAGCATTTACCGAATTTGAAAAGGCTTGACCTTATTGGTTCTCTGAAACTGATTCGAATACCTGACCTGTCCGGATGCCCAAATATTGAAGAAGTAATTCTTAGTCATTGCAGAGAGTTGGTTCAAGTTTACTCTTCTGTCATATGGTTCCTCACTTGATTTAACTAATTGTAAAAGACTTGAATGTATCCCACAGCTACCACCATTTCTAAAGCACTTGTGGGCATTTGATTGTCCATCCATTAGGAGAGTGTCAAGTTCAAGGACTACAGTCTCATCAGAGGGTCATCAGCGTATCTTCAAATTCAAGTGCTCAAAGTAACCTTGCAGCTGATGCACATATGAGGATCCTTCAGGATGCATATAGGTCTGTGTTTTATTGCTTTCCAAGGAGTGCAGTTCCTTCTTGGTTCCCTTACCGTTGCAAGGGACATTCAATGACTGAATATGCTCATTGGTTTTGTCCTATGTGTCGTTTTGGGACTTGAAGATATGCATGTTGAAGAAAGAACCTATAGTGTTTTAGCTATAGATTTGCAGTTGAATCTGATGATGGTAAACATATTTTTCCTCACAATGATCAGCTGAGAGACTATTTCATATGGGTGAACATAGATTTATTGCACATGATCACACATTCCTCTGGAAATATTACTTGGATTTATTTCATATGGAAGGGTGAACTTGAGTTAAGTTCTATTTATACCTCACTTCTTTTGATTCTTATCACTTCTATTGTTTTTGGATCTTCCATAATGAAAACCAAATATACACAGACTAATAGTAGCAGTTAGGAATCCGAATCCATTTTACCTGTACAGGAATCAAATTTTTTTCTGCAAGTTTCCTCCAACAACATATTTTGTCAGTGTTAACAAAATTTCCAACCTTTTAGAATCTACATTCTTCTAACCCAGGCTTAATAAACACATTCTATACATTGGATTATTTGTAACAAAAACGATAAATGATAAAAGGAAAATAAAGAAAAATATCATTGTTATATTGAGGTAACTGAGTCGTCATCACTGCCTCCACTATCACTGCTACTACTGCTTCCACTACCACTATCACTGCTGCTTCCACTGTCACTGCTACTGCTAGAAGTAGATGTTTCTTCACCCTTCCCTTCTGCATTCACCTGGGCTCTGAGAGCTTCGGCGGCATTGGGTCCTTTGTTCACCTCATCACCACTATCATCCACATCAGCGATCTCATCATCAGTGATTGGAACATTCATGTCAAATCCAACATTATCCTTTTCTTCAACATTATTGTCATCCTCAGGTGTTCCACTTCCAAAAAGGTCATCAATGTCTATATCTCTATGTTCCTCAGCTTCATCTATGGCAGCTGGTGAGGTAGCAGAAACAGGCAGTGGTTCATTTAGTTGATCATATGACCTCTTAGAACCAGATTTGATGCCTGTCATATGATAAGTACAACATTAAATTTAGCTCAATAAATACAAAGCAAATCTCTGCAAACTATCTCACAGGTCATCAGAAAAACAATAAATAAAGGAAATCAACAGAGTCTAGATATTCTACGAGAAATCTTCATTCATAATATCATACATACCAGAATTTTCAGGTTCACCGGTATCAATACGTTCCACTTCAACCTGTGCAGAATCAATGTAAATATAAGGAAATAAGCTAAGAAATCAGATAAGAACAAGGGATGAATCATTTACTTCCCTTCCGTTACGATAGAATTAACAGCTCAGCCAAAACAGAGAAAAAAGTTAACACCTTTTAAATGAGATTTATAATAGTATATGTGCTTCACTTAGAACCAACATATACCAACCTCAAAAATATAAATCACCGGCTTCAAGTCATATTATAATCCACTTTCTTTTCCTCAATTAAGAAGTACATAAAAACCAACAAGAAAAAAAAGCCAGGTATCGAGTAATTCAAGGATGCAAATATCTGCCTAAGCATCAACTGAGAAGTAGCCAAGTGAATTGTATGTTGTGTACGTACGTAACGTAAACAATCAAGTTAACATTGCCGCACCCAATAAAATTAAACATCTATTTACAGGTATAGTTCTACAGACACAAATTATATGACAATTGACAAGGATATGTATTCAGTAAGGAATCAACTTCGATAGAAACATGGAAAACTTAAATATATTAAAAATAACCATATATTAAATGATAGTCTCCACCATCATAGATTTTTATAATGTAATGAACAAGACTACTAAACAAACAACTATGCTAAAGATAGTTGGTAGGCACTTACTGCAACAGCTTGATTTGAGTTCCGGGCACTTCCAAAAGATGCTGGTTTTACGGGCTTCCCAATGGGGGATGACCGAGGATCCAAAGCTGGTCCAGATGGAGCAGTAACAGTTCCAGACGCAACAGCTGAAGACTCCCCAGGCATTCGAAGATGGCGCAGTTGCTTTACAGCCCTATCAAGGCGCTCCAATCGAAGTGTACGACCATCAAAAAACAATACAGCATCATTTTCCTTGTATTCCTCGCTATTTCCCTCAAATGTGACCTTGGGTTTTCCTACTTGGTTGTTCTGAAACTCCACAGAAACTCTATTCTCTTTGGTCTTGCGTAGCAATCCTGGCTTGGTCTTATCAACGGAAGCCGGCTTGAATTCATCTATAAAAAGTTCAACACATAAAATAAATAAATTAAAAATACCAAACAGAATAGTATTAGATATGTTGGGAAGAGCTTACATCGGAGAGTGCAGTATTTGTTGGCGGAATCATCTTTGAAAGAAGGTCCTAATGTGAGATTGTACCATGTATCAGGTTTGGGAGCAGTGTTAGGTTCTTCTTTAGACTTGTTAGCCATTGTGGAAGAAAGTTCAGTTCAGGAACCTAACACAAGCTGTTTGAAAATGAGTTTTTCGCTAAATTCATATAATTGAAAAAGAAATGATCAAATAAAGATTAGCCTAATGAGTCCCGTTAAGTCAGTTCAGCTAGTATAGTTGTGCAGAGACATTATACTGCAGGGGTGCGGTTCGAATCTGTTCGAATCTGCAACATTTCACTAACTAGACTACTTGACCAAAAATAAAAGATTAGGCTAACAAAGAGAATATATTGTAACCCTAAGCTGCAGTTACATTTTCAATCTGTATATTAATCAGCATAATCAGCATGCAACAAAACCTAATAACGAGATTTTACTATCTTAATTCCAAGCTGAACTAGAACAATTTTACAGATTATATCATGAGATTGTAAACTGTGTTTGCAGTAATTGTAGAACAAATTTACAAATTAGGTTTGGTTTAAAGGGGAAAGTTACGATCTAGTAATGATGATTGATAAAAGAAATACCTGGACGGAGTTTATAACTGTTTGTGGCCGGCGGCGGAAACTCTGGCTCCGTTTAGCGATTGAAACTTGTTTCCGATTGATACTAAACGAAACCGTGAAAATAGGTGAAATCCAGATGAAATTGAAGAGACGAGGATTTATTTCAATTGCTAAATTTTAATCCAAAAACGAATTACTATAGTTTGTTTAGCGTTTATTTGTTTAAAATTATGACTAAAATATCCAACTATTTAATTAAATAAAAAATTATCAATGGTAAATAAAAGAGTTTCAATTTTAATGAAGTAAAATTAAAAGAAAACAGTTACATTTTAGTGTCTTCTTTTTATATATGTTCTAATTTTATACGATGATGTGTTTTCTCGAGTGTGGTTGCATGGGATGGAATTGTAAGATTAATATTTTAATGTTTAAGTCAGGTTTTGAGTAACACGAGATAGAGTGAATTATAGATTGAACGGATACTTTTTTTATGTTCATCTAGTGATATTTATACAATGGATATATATTGGTTAGTCTAGAACAGTTACCTCTAAAGCTTGTCATGGTGTGATGCATGGAAAGTCTTTTAAGGAGTTAGGTCGGGTACGAATAAGAGTGATTTTATGTTAAAAGGTGTAAAAGGTTTGAAGACGCCTTTATTAAATCTCAATCTCATCATTAAGGTGTTTCATAGGTTTCTCAACAAGTGGCCCTAGGTTCATAAGTTAGGGCGTGACATTTTTCTCTAGAGTGTTCGAGTGCACTCGAGTGTCGTTACGTTTTCGATGTGTCATATGGACCATTGATTTTTCACCTTGTATTTTCTTTCATTCTCCAGCGTTGATTTGCTTCATTTGTTCCATTATATAAAGGTTTATTTGGCCTTTCAAATGATTTTTCATTCCCTCACATAACTGAACTTTGTATTCTTTTCGAACCCTTTTTTCTTCCTCTTCTCTCAAACTTTAGTGGTTCTTGTTCTTTCCATATTTCCTTCTTGTTTGAATCTATAGTTCCTGGTTCATCCCATATTATCAAGTTACTCTTTTCTTGAGTAGCATCTTTGCTTCGCCTCTTACTCATATGTCATTCCTAATCATTTAGCTTGCATTTCCTATATATCTTTCTAGCAGTCACCATGACCAACTTAGAAAATGTTTCAGAGAATATAAATAAAGATGGTGGGGGAGATTCACTAGTAACATTGGTTTATGAGAACCCTAATGTCCCAAATGTCGAGCCTTTAAAATTTAATGACCATAATCCTAACTTTATTGTGTTGAGTGATAAATCTGGACTTTTAAGGGTTTTGTGCAATGTGGTGACGGTCCTCTCATTACTTCTGAAGAAAATTAAGAGGGAAACTCTAGTATCTAGATTTGAGAGGAGTGGTTTCCTGCCTTGTCTCCTTCACTAAGTCTTATATTGATCCAGATGCATCCATAATGACTCGAGATGAGCAACGAGCTCTCTTTTTTTTACCAATACTTTTTGGGTGGTTTCAGATCCATGTCTTTGATTTACCAGGATGTAACCTCCTCAAATTATCAAATCAATAGGGAATCCACTATAGAGCCATATGGTCTCCGCAAATTTGCATTTGTTTTCCATTTTCATCGGTCACAACTCCCTTAGATCTGAAAATCAAGAGTATTCTGACGTGAACAAAGAGATTTGTCACGGGCGATTCACTTAACTACCATCACCGTGTTGTCGCGACTGGATTTTAAATCAGAGTCGCCACTATTAGTTTTTATTCTAGGGAAGGGAACATAACAGAAAACCCTAATTCGCGGACAAAGATTCTAGGTTATGGACTCAATTAGACGAAAGGAAGGTGTTAGGCACCTTTCATCCACCTTGTTCACAAGAATATTTGCCTCTAGGTTTAGGTTTGGGGTAAATTGGATTTTAAGTTTTAATTAGCAAGACTCACCACGATTTTAGATCGCGTTCCTATGTATCCTCTTATGAGGAATCGGAGTCTCAATTCGTAGTTCGTATGGGTTGGTATCTTTTAGGGGTTTGCAAACATATTTTGAATCACTTCGCACTCGGTCGGGAGTAGTGATTGCGGAGATTTTGACTGAGAATGCAGTAAGCCAAAATTAGTTTGAAACCCATTTACAAAAAAAGACTGTTGATTAGCTTAATTTGTTCGCGAAAATAGTTTGAGATTTGT